TTTCAAGAATATTTACATAAATTTTTGCATACTTCATAAGTCTTTTAGCTATGAGTTTTTCATATACCGGCCTTATTGGTTCATCTTTTGAAATGTTATTTAAAACTTTATAGATAATTTCAATGTCAACATCCCTTTCTAATTCATCTTCATTATATTTTTTATCATCTTCAGCATCTTTTTTTACTATCTTTATTACCATTGTTTTTATGATAAATATTACGAATGATTATTATCATTAGCTTTAGCATTATGATCTTGAAAGGAACCAGTAAATTCCTTATAAATAAATTTAATAAATTGCTAACAATCACCTTTAACAAATTTAGTAAATTGTTCATTTGCCTCATAAATATCTTGAATGAATTTAATAAATAGTTCTTTATTATTATTTTTTTTAATAATTATTAAATAAAGCCTTTGCTGACCTAATAATCTGGTTGCTTGTTCTTTATCAGTAATTCGTAGAAAACATATTTCAATTCATGATTGCATTTTTTGCATTTATCTTGTTCTTTACATTCATTATTAGATTTTTTGCATTTTTTGTATTTATCTTGTCCTCTACATCCATGTTTGGATTCTTTGTATTCATTGCATTTACATTGTTTTCTAAATCCAAATTTCATAATGCTTTCAACTCTGATATTAGTACCATGAGAAAAGAATAATGAAATTGAACGAGTTAAAACGGTGGAGAGAATGAAGAAGAAAATTGTATCAACACTTTTAGAAGTGCAATATATATCATATTTGAAGAAACATTCTACTATAGAAAGGAATATGACAAAGAAGAAAACTCTTTTCATTGTAAAGTGCTTAGGATGTTTTTTTTCTAGATCCCTAAGATTCTTTTTTCATTTTTTAGATTTTAAAAAATAAGACATGAGTAACCAGGTTGCTAATATAAAGTAAATAAGATCTGTAAGAAAGCTTAAAAATTCCAAATTAATAATAGCATTTATAAATGAGGGATCAGCAGATAATGAGTAATTAGTATTATGGTACATTTCCATACAATCATAAAAAATAAGTAATGCTGAATTAATAAAACAAATCAATATAATTGCTGATTTAATTTTGCTAAAGCTTCTTTGAGAGAATTTTTTAAAGCATACATATTGCTTTTCGTTTTGTAGATCATTGTTTTGTGAATCTTGGACATTATTGTTTTTTAAATCTTTTTGCTCTTCATTTTGTGAATCACTGTTTTGCGAATCTTGGACGTTATTATTTTTTAAATCTTTTTGCTCTTCATTTTGTGAACCATTGTTTTGCGAACCTTGGTTGTTATTGTTTTTTAAATATTTTT